ACTGTTGTAAGTCGAGGACTACCTGTACTGTTCCACCACATTTTCCTTGAGAGTACTTATACTCTTTGGCTTTCCTTTTATTCTGAACATACCGCTAAAACATTCCCCCTCCCCTTATTTTTATGTCTCTTACAAGCCTTAGCTCTTTCTGAATGTTAGCTTTTAGAGAAAGTTCTTATGTTTCTAAAGACCACTTTGTATTCTTCTTTGGTTATATATTCTTACTTCTATTTCCTCAGCGTGCCCTTTTTTTTCATGTTTTTGATTATGTGCCATCAGGTTGTTTTCAACTTCTAGCAACCACAGAGATGCATTTCCCCTCCCCCTCAGCCCCATGGTAATATTTTCCTGTTTTTCCAAGTCTCTCAATGGTGGGTACACTCATTGCCACTATATAAGCAAAGTCCGTCCATCCATTCTCTTCTTCCCTGTCCTTACACCTTTCCCAGCCTTAGAATCAGAGGTGGGATTCAGCAGGTCCTGACCAGTTCTGGAGAACCGGTAGCGGAAATTTTGAGTAGTTTCAGAGAACCAGCAAAGACCACCTCTGACTGGCCCCGCCCCCATCTATTCTCTGCCTCCTGAGTCCCAGCTGATCGGTTGGATCTTCTTTTGTTGCCCTACACAGGAGAATGGAGCTGGAAAGTAGGTTAGTGGGGTAGGGAGGGAGTGGGGATTTTGCAGTAACCTTCCCCCAGGAGTGGGGAGGGAATGGAGATTTTATAGTATCCTTCCCCTGCCATGCCCACAGAACCGGTAGTAAAAAAAAATTGAATTTCACCACTGCTTAGAATCTGTTGTCAACTATTTTATACTTTCTATTTATCATATTTTCTTGGTAAAAACATACCATAGGAGTGGCCTTCTCCAGCATGGTATGATTGCCATTGTAACTACAGTAACTGTCTGCCTTTGACATTTTCTTATATTGCTGCTGCCCAGTATGGGTGCCTGCTTGCTTTACCCTGGGCATGAGCTGGGATGAGCTTGGTACCCTGGGTGACCCTGCTGAGAATATACACTTTTGGCATACACTTCTGACATTCTTTGTTCATCCCCCCCACCCCTCCACCCCGGGACACCTCCCCCCACCACTCCCAGTAGGAGTTGAAGATGAGGTCTTCAGCATGTGGTTGGATCCTTATTGTATCTACCCTGGCTTCAATATTTCTTCATTACCCCTTCTAGTGAGGATTGTGGTGATTTTGCTTTCACTATTCAATTTTGTAGGATTGGCCAACCTTCCTTGATACTTTTCTCCTTTGGGATTTGAAGCCATTACTTTCAACCTACCTTTCCTAAGTTCCTAAGAGCTCATCAAAATTAGATCTTCCGAAGTTGGATGTACAGATCCAACTGTTCTCAATTCTTCTACTTCTGGATATCATGAGTACTTTACAAACTCATACAGCAGCATTATTTTGGTATTTCTTCCCTTTACAGGATTTCCATGCTCTGATTCTTAAGATTTTTGTGCTAGAATATTCTTCTCACTACATACAATACACCAGAAGTGGTATTTAGCAGGTTCTGACCAGTTCTGCAGAACTGGTAGCCGAAATTTTGAGTAGTTCAGAGAACCAGCAAATACCATCTCTGACTAGAAATTTTATAGTATCCTTCCCCTGCCATGCCCACCAAGCCACGCCCACACAACCGGTAATAAAAAATTTTTTAATCCCACCACTGCAATACACCATACCCCACCCAGGATCTGGTTTTTTAAAATAAACTATAACTCCCGAGTTGTGGATTAATCATGAGTGATATCTCACACTTGTGACACCTATCATGCTTGGCTTTCTCAATTAGGTTAGGATCTTAGTTCCCCTTGTTTAGTGCTGGCTTGAATATTACATTCATACAAACATAATAACCACCTGTGCCATAGTTAGGCTGTTTCATCCAGATTGTTCCTTTTTAATTTTTCTTCTTATACTTCTGGGAGAAAGCTGAGTTTTGCCTACCTCCAAGTTTCAAAGCTCTTCATGATCTATGGTGAGTTTGTGTCCATTGTGTGCTCGCTTTTCAAGTTGGTATATGGGTTCATCTATGGCTTCTTGGCTGCAACAACCCATCACCAGAAGTGGCCTAACCATTATTATATTTAACTCAGTCCTTTTGCAAACTCTGTAGTGGGCCCAGCCCTGTCATTACTTATTCAGTAGCCTTGAGTTCTCCAAAGATTAACTGAGTGTAGTCTCCTTTCCGATGTGACATAAGCAACCACCTGTGAGATATAAATTCATTGAGATAAATTCATAAATTCATGAGGTAGCCAATACATTCTCTGCTGGAAAATGCATTTAATTATGTAGAGCTGCCAAATCCGGCCTATAAAAATCAGGAACACTTTTAGATGGCAGCACAGAGTTGGAATATTTTGCAGGGTGATATGGAATTTGTAATCTTTCCTTAAGGACTTGGAGAGGAAGCAATGCTGGATTCCTAATAAGCTTGTTCGGTATTGTGGGCAACATGTGTGAGTAAAGTTAGGCTGATTTATGTTTCTTCACCTCTGTTTTCACTTCTTGGGTTTCTCAGATATTTAAGAGAATAAACTAGTATCCTAGGGAAAGAGCACGAAAAAAATATCTCTTCTTGTTCACCGACCATTTCCCCTTAGCTGTAAGATGGGGGTTGGGGGAGAGAATCATTTAATTGGCACAGTGGCTCAAACATGCCCACTCTTTCAAACCATCCACCCAAAAGAAGCCAAAGAGCATAAAAAGGAACAGGAAGCTGCTGCCAAATCTTGGCATCCTTTGGCTAGCTAAGCCCAGATAGTGCATTCCAGTGGGAGTGATCAGGTTGCGGAGATATCTGGACATCATTGCTATGCAGGACTTCCTATCAGAAGAAGTGGTTGGTTGAAGGCGTCTCTGTACCTATTTCTTTGGAAGCAGTGCTATGGTGAAAAAGAGGAGGCAGTTGCCATTCTCTTTTGCTCTCTTCTTGCTTTGGCCTGGAAAGGGGCTGCTGGAGAGACCTCGGTTTTCCCATTAAACTTCCAGGGGATCAACCTGCACTGGACCAGGCAGTCATCAGGTTAAGATTGCCCTTGCTTGGCAACTATATGGAGACCAGAGGATCCAGACTATTCTGCTTTATTAGGAAATGCAGCAGGAACAGTTGAGCCATCTAGAGCCAAAGGGATGGCTCCCTGCAGCCTGGTCAGAGTAGAAGTGGGTGGGAAAGTACCAAAGAAACCAATTCTTCCTGGCCAGGGTGGAGGCTTGGAGGAGATGGACCCTCCCTCCGCCCTTTCTGCACCCTGCAGTGTGCAAGGCTAATGGGGTGGCTAGTGGCCTTCCTCAGTTGCACCTTCCTCAGTTGCCCATTTCAAGGGCAGCAGGCAGGCTTGGAAACCCCAAGGGAGGGGATGGGAAACTCTGCAGGTTTCTTTGCGGAGCGCCCCCTCTTCTTTGCAGGAAAAAGGAAGGCGAGGGCCGCTAGACGTACAGGTGGCATTTGCTTCTCCCTTAGCAAAGGAGTGCAGCGCAAAAGGCGATTCTGTGCGGGGAGGAGGGGGGAGGAATGGCACGCGTAAGGAGGGCCCCCATGCTATACGAAGAAGCCTGGTTAGCGCTGGGTAACTGTCCGAGTAACCTCTTGGCATCCAGGTTCAAATTAACCCCTATTGAACGAGCCGCTCTTGAGGCGAGTGTCAAGAAGCTAGCGGGGGCGTTTGTAAATGGAAAAACGCCTCGAGAGACCCTGCCTTGAGGAAAAGCCCAAGCGAAAGTGCCTCCAGGCAAAGAAGGGGGTGGTCCCATCAAGAGAGGGGGGGAGTTCACCCCCCCTCCAAATGCTTGAGAGCCGCCTTAGTGCTTCTCCCGTTCCCCGCCTTCCTAGATTCTCCAGCTGCGGATGGCGCGTTTGCTGGCTGGCTCTGGTTCCTCCGCAACCCCGAATAGCTCCGCCACAGGTTACGGGGGGTGGGTGGGAGGGTCTTCCTTTTCCTCTGTGGGACGCGGGACTTTCCTGCCCGATCTCCTGCCTCTTCACTTCTAACGCCAGAAAGAGGATGCGCAGCGCTGGTTCTCTTTTTGGCCCAGCGGGAACTTCGGCGCCTTCCTCACACGGAAAGGTTGGCGAACGCGGGTCGAAAGAAAAGCGCTGCTGCCTGAGGTAAAGCGGGCCCCAGTGGTGCCTCTGGCATTCGGCCGCGCTTCGGGATCGACCCAACGAGACCCCCCTTCGCATTCAGGTTCAGCTGGTCTGAACTTCAGAGCTCTCCTGAAGGCAAACTTGGTGAGCTCTCCCTGCAAGCTTCCGTCGCGCCGATAAGGACCCGAAAGTTTCGCCCCTCGGAGCACGTGCAGAGCGCGTCTTCAGCTTCGCCCGGAAACTGCTCCAATCAAGAACTTCGGTTAAATAAACACAAGAGCGAAACAGTTTCGACTGAGCTGAAGCTGCGAAGCCCAGCCGAGACCATCCCCACCAGGATTTCTCCCCATGGCTTGGGGCCCTTAAGCGTAGCTCTAGCCCACGGCCGGGTGTGCGTGTGTGTGAGAGAGAGAGAGAGAGAGAAAGAGAGAGAGGGTCTTCCGCGGCCAAGACCCGGGGCCTGAAGTTTACTGACTTAGAAGAAACCCGCCAAGACTCGCGCAGTTTCGCTGCCTTCCAAGCCAAGGAGGCACTGAGCTCGTTTGCCGAGCTTTTCTCTCCAGGATGTCGGGGTAACTGTAACGTCGTAGGCGAGGTTGCTTGAGCTGATCCACCCCCCAGAGAAACAAACACCTCGGGTAGGAAAAAGGAGCACGCCCCGTCCCAGGTAGTGACTGGGATGAGTTTCAGGGAAACGGTCTGGGGCAGCTGATCACCTCGCAGTAAAACTCCCGCTGGAGTTTCTCAACCCCGAGTCTAATCAAACTGGAGCGAACGGCGGGAGATTCCAAATCGCCGCCGCCTTTTTGGACCGGTCAAACTTTGCTTCCCTGAAGGAACCACAGGTTGATGTCCTCCCTCCCGAGACGTCCAGCCACTGCACCATTTACCTTGATCCGCTGTCTTCGATCGTTTTTATTTGAGGGGGGGAGGCTGATCTGTCTGCCGGAGGGTGCCGAGGAGGCCCCGCCTCGAGCGATGTTCGGCGATCGCCCGTCACCCAATTGGGCCGGGCTGTCTTTTTCGGCTGCAGTGAAACCTCCAAAGATATCCGAGATACTTGGGAATTGGGGATCAGGCTGAGTCCAGGAGATGAAGCGAAAGAATCGTACTGATCACCAAGTTACACTGATGCGTGCTAAACTCAATCTTTAAGCAAATTCTCAGTTCGCACGGAGTGAATTTCTTCACCGGTGGAAGAATTAAAGTGCTATTTTACTATTTTAAATACCATAAAAGTCAGCAAGATATTCCTCACCCCCGCCACAGACACACACTCCAGAATCATGGCTCTTTAGCTTTCCAAACTTCTCCGTTCAGGGGTAAATAAAACAGAAGGGGGAATGGCTAGAATTTAATATTAGAACAACAAGGGTAAAGATTAATACCTTGCAAGCATATTTTATACATACATCGGGTGGTTTGGAATAATACAACACAAAACTCCACTGGGAGGTACTTCTGATATACCTATAACTACTTTTCAATACTCAAACGTAAAAGCATTTGCCCGCTTTCCTCCTTTTGAGGTCGTCCTTTGAACGGAAAAAAAGTTGGGACGTTCGGCTGAGATCTGAATTATTGGAGCTTGAAAGGTATTAAGACCTGCAAGCTTTTTCTTAAGCTTACTAGCCATGCAACAGGATTAAGCAGCTTTCTGGATTGAAGCGTTTTCTGGATTCCAACAATAAACTGAATTCCGTAAGAAAGTACCCAAGCAGATAAAGATAGCATTCTAATCGTCTGAAAGATAAAGATCCATTCAGTTTTAGCATATCATCAGAATGGGTCTACTAGGACTTTTAACAGACAAAAGTTAACTGGGTAGCGTAAGCAGAGTTTATGCAAACGCCTTTCTGACACAGGAATCTGACTTAATTGGGGTGGGGGATGCGGCTGGAGAAATGTCCTGCCTCGAGCACTTCGACCCCAAATAGTATTAAGGGCCCATAACTAATCTGATGATTTGAGTACAGTCAGTACACATCTTCTCTCTCTTTATCCATCCGTTTAGAGTACATTATTTTATATTACAATAGATAATGGAAGAAAACGTCAGATTTTATAATACAGAACTGAGCGAGTGGGCTGGTTTCGAGACGTCTGGCTGGGTTCTGCAGGGGGAAAAGTGGGAGAGGAGGGATCAGTTTATTGAAAGGCGTTAATATTCCCGGCGGGAGGGGGAGAATTAGTCCAGGAGGTTGAAATAGCTTCGCCTTTTAACTTCCAGCCGAAAAACAAAAAATCTACCGAAACGCGTCCCCCTCCCTCCGACTTTTTTTTTTGCCAACGGCCCCGCTCCGATCGTGTTTGCTCCGGCGAAAGAGTGGCCTGAGTGACCGAGACCGCCGTTTCCAAGCAGGCAGGAAAAGCAGGGAATACTTGGTCCCGGTCGCCGAAGTAGCGCCGTTTCCCTCCCGCGACAGCCCGAGCGAAGGGCACGCGGAAGGCGAGTCGCAGGAGGCGTTTCTCCCTGGCCCCCGGCGAGTGGCTCCGGCTCGGAAGTTGTTGGCAGGAGGGGAAGAAAGAGGCGGTTGGGTGGGCTGGTAGGGCTTCCTCCTCCGAGAGCCTAGGAGCAGCTGTTAGGTTAACCGCTGTTAGGGCATTGAGGTGGGACCTGTCCCGCCTTAGCCCGCCTGGGCGCAGGTGGTACCAAATGCGAGGAAAGGACGGAGGAACAGCGGGCCAAACCCCAGTTATGTACTCTATTCAAACTATGACCTAAGGAGGGAGGGAGGGAGAATTTTAAGTACCAGTTCTAAACCTCCCTTTCTAACCAAGGAAAAGGTGCGGAAACATACATACACGTACGTTTTAAGTCTCTGTCTCTCCCTCCCTCACAGACACACACACACGTTTTAAATGCCGGTTCTAAACCTCCCTTTCTAACCAAGGTAAAGGTGTGGAAACACACACACGTGTATACTTTTAAGTGCCAGTCTCACTTTTGTTCTCTCTTTCTCACTCACAAGTTTTAACTGCGAATTCTAAGCCTCCCTCTCTAGCAAGGAAAAGCTGCGGAAATACACACATACACAAACGCGCGTGTGTGTGTATATGTGCGCGCGTGTGTTTCCGCATCTTTTCCTTGCTAGAGATGGAGGCTTACTTCTGACACTTCCAACTTTCTAGCTAGGCTCCCAGGCCCCTTGGGGTTGGAGAAGCTGCCTGCTTTTATCTCTGGGTAGGCCCCGGGAATATTCATTCTCAGAAATAACGCTTGCTGAGCCCCCTCGCGCTGACCTCCAATCGAACCTGCTTCCATTCGGGTTCTCCGCCCCGCAGTCCTCCCCGTCAGAAAGCAGCCGTCCCTCAGGTCAAGCAGCCCCCACTTCTTCCAGCGAACAAGGGTCGGGTATGGGTTGTTTCCCCGGAGAGGCCTAAAATCTGATCTCGCGCGTTCAGACGACGCTCCAATCCGGGGCATTCTAGCGAAAGGAGGTCGTGGAAACCAACGGAGCTCAACAGGGTCCAGAGCTTTAATAGGGAGAGCCCCAAATCCGTTTCCCTGGGCAAATGTCCTTTGAGGCAATGGAGGGTGGGTGGGTGGGTGAGTTTGAGGGGAGGGGTAAGCAGGTGAAATCTCTGTGCAGGCAAAGCCCAGATGCAGGAAGGAAAGGAAAACCGGTTGCAAGACCCGGGAAGTCAGCGGGCCAGAGTTCTCGTCCGGGGCCCAAGTGAAGAATCCGAGGTCAGCTGAAGCGCCCCTCCCGTTTCTCTTATTCACGCGGGAATTTGGGACCTGAGCGTTCAAACCGGCCTGGGCAGTCAGTCCCTCAGTGAAGTCAGCAGAAAAGCCCCCACCTCCGTTTCCTTGGCAGCGGGGAGAGGTTTTGAATGGCTCGGTGTTTGTTCCTTCTGAGGGGGGCATCTTCCATCCCACCCACAAACGAGCCGAGCCCGCGGTTCCATCTCTCGCTCTCGAGGTTAAAAGTATAGAAACTTGCTTTGGGTGGCGGTCCTGGCTTCCAGCTCCCGTTGCTTTCCTCGGCGCTCCTCTCTCAGACCCAGCCCCCACCCCCACCCCGACTAAGCTCAAAGCTGACCCCCGCCGCCCCAGTGTCCTGCCTGGGCCGGCGGCTTCCCTCGTACTTCGCTCCCGAAACAGCCGGAGACGTCCCGGGTCGCCTCCAGACTCACCCTTTCCCTGGTGGGCTTCGCGACCTCTCCCTCCGCCCAGGACTCCCCTGAATCTTTGGAGAGGCGGACGGGGCGGCGAGTGAGCGGCCCCTTTCCCCCGCCCGGGCAGGCAAAACCAGGAGCGGGCGGTAGCGCTGCTCTCTCTGAACTTGGGGGAGCGAAAAGAAAGTCGGGAGTCTCTGGCTGAGGCGGCTCCTGAGCAGCGCCTCTGTCACCTGCCGGATGGTCTGTGCCAAAGGCTCTCCCGGGGGCTCGGAAAGTGTTGGGGGGCCTCGGCTGCTGGCAGCGGCTGACTCAGAACATCCGGGGTCTTTTTGTGGGTAAGAGGAACCCCCCGCTCCGTCCGGGCTGCTTGGGAAAAGCGAGGCCTACTTCTTTCAAGCCGCTTCCTCGCAGCCCCGGAATGTTGGGTCTCAGTTTAAAAAGGAGAGCTGCAGCGAAGCGGGCTCTTTGGGTCTGAAGTCTGGCCCAGCTCATCAATTTCAATGGGCTCCAATGGAGGCTGAGCAGACTAGAATCCAGGTATATATTTTACCTTTGAGTAAGGGCCACCAATTGCCAGGGAGTCATGTTAAAGAAAGAAATTTTAAAAAAGAAATCTTACTTCATTTTGTTGAGGTTGGAAATGACTTGGCAGATATGAGATTGGTTGGCTTTGCTGTTGCTGGGAAAAGAAGTTGGGTTTTCCCCCAAGATGAATCTTGTTCCCTTATTAGCAAATGAAATAACACTGACCCGGCTGAAAGGTCAGGGGCAGTGTTGGGTTGGATCTATCTTCTGGAAAGTATTTTCCAGCCCAGGCAGTAGATAGAAGTTGGAAGCTGTGGCCTTAGCAAATGGAAAGGATCCTCAGACTAGGATCTAGAATCTAGACATGGGAGAAGAGCAAAAGATGCTACTTGCTCCTCTTCTGGAAGCAGAAGTTCGTGATGGGACACTTTCCTAACTAAATTATCTTACCCTCTGTAAGCTTGTCAGTCTCCCCATACAGTCTGCTAAATCCCTTCTTATTGAACTTGTCCCCTTACAAAACCTCCCCAATCAAAATATCTCCTTTTGGGACTCTGGTCCACCAACAGGATTGAGTAAAATCATCATTCTGACCCATGTCTTGTTGAAAGTTTGTTGGATTCCTTTGGGGTGGCAGCCTCATCAATGGGTTAGAATTGGCTTGGCCAGACAATAGGAGGCACATCATAGCCAAATCAGGACGGCCTGCCCCATCCCCCATCACTGTAATAGTACAATGGCATCACTTAGAGAATTGGTGGTTTAACCTCTCCTTAGCTGCTATGCTGCCGCCTCCTCCTCCTGCTCTTCCTCTTCTTCCACTTTTCCCTGTACAGGCCTCTGTTCTGCCAGTTCTGATGAAACATAACTGGCAACTGAAAGCCAAATTCTGGGAGATTAATCCAATAATAAAACTAAACTAAAAATACCAGAATCAAAAATCTAGCAGTCTCAACTCTTGTTTGTATTTCATTAGTATATCAGGGTGAGAACTTGGAGGCCTTACCTATTTTTGGAAAATATTTTAAGAAGCTGAACAGTTACATTTCAGGGTTTCATAAAAATAAGGTGTATATCAAAATTTTGCAAGATTCCATACAAGCAAGAAAGAGGACAGGTTTTATTTTAACTTGCCTTGCTCCCTTTTATAGCATTATTTGGAAAGTACAATGAGCAGAAGACACAAATACATGAGAAACTTCAAAATAACTGCAGGGAAGCAATTCCTTTTCTCCTCTTTTGTAATGGTAGCTAGTCTAATCTATAATGAAACCTACTCTAGAATAAGATTAGGTTGCTTATATGAAGCTGATCTTTCTTAGCAAGGCATATTTGCCAACAGGCCACACCATTTTCAAGACATTGGAACAACAGAATTTGTGTGACAAAGTTGTGCTTATAGCATCTCTTCAGACAGAGAGGACAGGAAAAACAAAACAACAGAAGTGAACAAAGTAGTGATTTATTGGCATATTTCGGGAAATTTGCACGTAATTGCCATGGATTTCTAACTATGCAATAGATCTACACATCTATTGCCTCTCCAATATACTGTTAAATTGAGATTATTTATTCAACACATTTGTGATTAATAGGGGTAATTTTTTTCTATGGAATATTGTGGACATTTTTCAGTTTTGGTATTCTTGCACTCAGAGTTCCTTAAATTCCAAGCATACATATCCAACTCCAGTTGATGGACATTGGAGCCTACCTCAGTTGTGCAGAAACTACAGCCTGCCTCATGAGGGAAAAGAGGGCAAGCAGTTATTAAGAAAACACCAAGAGCTGAAATATGCATATAGAAACAGTATTCGATCATTTGTCATCTTTGCTGTTAAAGTGCTTTGGGCTGAGACCTCTTGTTCCAACTGTATCTGTTCCTTGACGCTGGCATATTTTAAAAATTGAAGGCAACTGTTTTCTGGCTGCAAAAGAAAAATGTCCAGAAAACATTAACATTGGTCTACATCGGTACCTAACTTCTAAGCCTAGAAAATCATGAAAACTCTAGCAATTACCTTCCTTGGAGTGCAGACCAGGAGGACATTATCTTCTTTCAAAAGCTGGAGATATTTGATAACAACAACAAGAAGACAGAAATACCAATTTGGAAGCTGTGATTTGCTTCCACAATTTGGTGGGATACTGGAGAACTAAAATTAAGGCTCTGGCATCTGAAGAAGTCCTCTAGTCCAGGGGTCGCCAACCTTTTGGACCTCAGGGACCACCAAACTCATAAGTTTAGATCCCAGGGACCACTAACTGGTTCTGTGGGCGTGGCCTAATTTGTGGGTGTGGCTTGGTAATCATGTGACTGGCTGGGCATGGCTTGTATGTAAATATTATAAATATTTATATAAATATTGAATTTTTTATAAAGAGCAACTTTTACCCCAAATCAGGCAAAGCAGGCAGGCAGATTGAGTTGCTCACAGAATCACAGATTCATTCAGAAATCTATCTATCTGCCATTGGCTAGCTCAGTCTGTCACATAAAATTTGCTTGCAAGCAAACTCATAAAATTAACTCACATCACACCATGTATGTAAATATTGATTTTTTTATATAAAAAAGCAACTTTTATCCAAAATGAGGAAAAGCAGGCAGATTGAGTTGCTCACAGAATCATTCAGTGATCTATCTGCCATCGGCTAGCTCAGTCTCTCAAATTTGCTTAAGTCTGCACTGAATTTGCTTGCAAGCAAACCTTTAGTCCTAAGGGAGGTTCGGCTGTGCTTAGCTAGAAAGCAAGAAATCCAACCATTTCCTGCTTCCTAGCTAATCTAAATCTCCTGGCACAGCAGAACAGATGATGGTCGGAAAAAGGAAAAATAGCAACACAGCAGACAAGTTTGCCAGGTAAAGAGTGAGTGGGCGGGGAGGTTCCCCCAGGCCATGGGCTGAGCAGCCTTGTGTTTCTGCACAGCCTGGATTAATTGCTTTTTGGGGGGGGGGATGCTCTGGGAGTGAGATTTCTCTGTGGCCCACCAAAATTTTCTCACAGTCCACCGGTGGGCTGCGGCCCACCGGTTGGCATCCACTGCTCTAGTCTAGATCAAGAAACTGATT